CCTCCCCCTCCTCCTCCTCCTCCTCCTCCTCCTCCTCCTCCTCCTCCTCCTCCTCCTCCCCACAAACTCCCTTCCTTTCCATCACTGCTAATGTTCCCCAGTTGGGTCATGAAACGTCTCCAAGCTCAGAGAGCACCCAGGACCCCACAGTCCTCCTCCTCCTCCACCACCACCTCCCACATCCTCATCCCACAAACACGGCTGGGTAGAGATTTTCTCAGTCCTGCTAACCTCGTTGTTTTCTTTTTCTCTCCACCTTTCTGTGGCAGACGGACGGCACCCAAACCCCCGAGGGATTACTTTGTCCTTTTTGCACCACGTGGACCCTCGGCCCCATTGCACAGCTGACAGGCTCTCCCACGATAGTGGAGGAGGCTGCCTGTCCCCCAGAAATCATGGAGCTTCCGCCCGCGGTTCGCCTCCTTCTCGAAGTCCTCTGAGTTCTTCCAAAAAAAAAAAAAAAGTAGCACTGGGTATTTTTCAAGGAAAAAAGAAGCAAAGAATGTAGAAAGGAAGTGGTTCTGTTTGATGTGGGAATGATGGTCTTGTGATGCCTGGGTAAGGGATGTGCAGAAAAGCCCAGCCACATCTCTACACAGTTGTTTTGCTGTTGCAGCCTGAATATTTCGCACTATTAACCATCGCAGCTGGTGGTTCCCTTGGCTGAAATTTCCAGCATCGGCCCTCATATCAAAAGCAATAGCACCTAGACTTATATATCGCTTTGTAGCACTTTACAGCCCTCTCTCAGTGGTTTACAGAGTCAGCATCTTGTCCTCAACGATCTGGGTCAAACTGCTGGCAGTTGGCAGAGTTAGACTGCAATACTGCATTCTAACCACTGCACCACCACGGCCCTTCCTTCCTTCCTTCCTTCCTTCCTTCCTTCCTTCCTTCCTTCCTTCCTTCCTTCCGAATTAGTAATAATACTTAGACTTACTGCCCTCTCTAAGCTGTTTAGAGAGTCAGCATCTTGTCCTCAACAATCTGGGTCCTCATTTTAAGGATGGAAGGCTGAGTCAACGTTGAGCTGGTGAGGATCGAACTGCTGGTGGTGGGCAGAGTTTGCCTGCAATACTGCATTCTAACCACTGCACCAACATGGCCCTCCCTTCTTTCCCTCCCTTCCTTTCCCTCCCTCCTTCCTTAGGACTTAGCAATAGTAGACTTATATCAGGGCAATTTGGAAACAAACCTCCGTTTGGTTATCAATGACAGACACTCACAGATACAGAACTTTTATTATACACATTAGAAAGCGACAACATTACATTTCTTAGTAGTCATCGCTCGGCGCCAAATCTGGGCTATGGGGGTGTGACCCAAAACATCCCAACAGGACTGTTTCAAAAGTTCTCGGGTGCATCTAGCGGTGTGCGGGCGAGCATTGTCGTGGACCAACACCACACCGGAAGTCAGCTTGCCCCGACCCTTGTTATGGTTGGCTCATCTGAGTTTCCGTCACGTTTCACAGTAGACTTCTGAATTGATGGTCGAACCACAGTCCACGAACTTCACTAGCCGTACTCCTTTGGCATCTTCACATTTGGCGAGATTTTCTATGGCACCACTTCCGGTGTAGTTTTGGTTCACGATAATGCTTTTTTGTTTTTTCCAATTCTTGTGAATTTTTTTCTACTAGGATTAAATCATGTTTCTTTGTTTTGTTAAATTCCCTCTTTAAGTCTCTATTCTCAATTCTATATCCATTTATCTCTGTTGTTGTTTTCTAGGATTTTTTTTTGTTGTAAAGTTAACTTGGAAATAAATTGATTTATATTTTCAAAGTTGTGGATTTCTTTGTGGTTTAAAGTCATTGTTGTTTGAATTAGTTGCAGTATACTATATATCTCCTCCTTTGACGTATTTATGTTTTCTTGATATGTTCTTTTTACTTGTCTCTGATCCATGATAGCCAAGAATTTGAGTTTTCATCTTCCTTTTTTTGTCTGTAAATAGCTTTAGAGTCCCAATTAAATATTTGTAATCCAAATAGTTCAAAAAAGATTTTTTCCCTAAAATTTATAATTCTCTTTATTTACAGCCCAGATTATTGTCTTTTTCCCCCCACAGCTGTTTTTTGTTGTTAAAGCTTTGAAGGTCACAGACCTAGATTAGCTTTTCCCAGATTTTGCCAAGTCTTATATTAAAGTCATAGCTGTCATAGTCTTCATCTGCCACTAGGTGTCAGCAACTATTTGTTTTTCAACTTCCAAAATGAACAATTATCTTTGAAATGAGAGTCTTAACCATTAAAACAATTTTAGATTTATCCAGATTTAAGTTTTAGGTTTTATATTTATTTCACTTCCATATCTTTTGATCCTCCATAAAAAGATTAATTTCCCGCTTCCGTTAGCATAAGGGTGGGGCGGAAATCCCCCTCCTTCCCTTTCGGAGGTATTTTGCTTCTTGGGGATTTTCCCCAGGAAATTAAATGTAAAATAGAAAAGAAAAGATCAAATTCCTCACCCAGTTTCAAGCACGCTGTTCACAGTTGTGCTGGTTAGTGCTTTTGGACTTCGATTGCTAGTAGCTTGGGCTGGTCGATGCAGTACAGCCAGCCTTTCTCTTCTGTCGGGTTAGAAGGCTTTCCCCAAGTCAAACGGAACGGCCGCCGCCGTTCCAGAATCACTGGAGCACCCTTCTTTCTTTGTCGCCTCTCTGGGGCGACTTAGACCCATTTAGGGTCCCCAGGAAGAGCAAAATTAGCCGTGGGGGTGCGGAGAATCCGCCAGCCCGCGACCAGTTGCTACCGCGCAAAACCGGAAGTCCTCATTTCAATTCTGATCAACAAGCCAACAAGCTGTGACGCATCCGTGTAATACAGGGGCATTCCAGCCTCAGCATCTTTAAGACCTGTGGACTTCAACTCCCAGAATTCCCCAGACAGCCATGGGGAATTCTGGGAGTTGAAGTCCACAGGTCTTAAAAGTGGCCACGGTTGGAAAACCTTAAAATAGCAGGTTTTTATAGCCATCCCTGTTTTTTTCCCCCTCCCACTTCTTTTCTCTGACTATAGAGACAGAGACAAAATAATAGTGGGGGCAATTTTGAGCATGGAAACACAAAGGGTTAAGTCCTGATTTCCTTTATTTGGAAGAAATTGTGGGGTATATTTATATCTATCTATCTATCTATCTATCTATCTATCATTGTCTGTCTGTCTGTCTGTCTGTCTGTCTGTCTGTCTGTCTGTCTGTCTCTCTCTCTCTCTCTCTCTCTCTCTCTCTCTCTCTCTCTCTCTCTATCTATCTATCTATCTATCTATCTATCTATCTATCTATCTATCTAATTGCAAACTCCAATCAGCCTTAGTTGTTTGCTCTCTCTAGCTAACAGACAAGAGACTTCTCAAGACCTGCAGAGCCTGTTATACCCAGCTAGATCGTGGCTTGGATTTGGGGAAGCTGACATTGCTCGTTTTGGAAGGGAAGTGAATTGTCGAGGTTGGTGTTAAGTTCAGGTTGTGTATAAATCCTTCCGGACGAGACCATTTTCATTTGGGCACCCTCCCTGCAAGCTGATGGGAAGATCTAGAAAGGAGCCAAGTACAGGTCACCCTAGACATGCGTCCACAATGTCTATTGCTAAGTGAATTTTGCCCCATTTTACGACCTCTCTTCCCAGAGTTATCGAGTCGCTGCCGCTGTTAAACTAGTAAGACGGTTGTTAAGTGAATCCAGCTTCCCCCACGGACTTGGTTCATCCGAAGGTCGCAACAGGGGATCGCGTGACCTCAGGACCCTGCCACCGTCGCAAATAGGAGCCAGTTGCCCCATTTTACGACCTCTCTTCCCAGTTATTCAGTGAATCGCTGCCGTGTGTCCGAATGTTGATCACGTGACCGTGGGGATGCTGCAACCGTTGTGTGAAAAATCATTTTGTCACTTAACAACGGTGGCAAGAAAGGTTTTAAAATGGGGCCAAACTCACTACACCAGTGTCTCGCTTAGCGACCAAAATTTTGGGCTCAGTTGTGGTCGTACGTTGAGAACTACCTGTAGGTTAACTATTAAAAAAAAACATACATTGGGACTCTATTTCTCTGTATAAACAGGAAGAATGCAACCTAATACTGGTTGTTGTTTTTTTAATGGAGGGTGCTGAGAAGGCCCAAAAGAAAAGCCATCCCGTGGTTCCCCCAGCAGGGATGCAACTGAGAGTATCATCCTTGTAAGCTGAGAGTTTGGCAGCACCAAGCTGACCTTGGCTGAGCTTGGGCAAAGATCCCCTGGTTCAGATCTGGTTAGCGGGATGGGAGGGGGCACCGCTACAAAATCCCAGGGCTATCAATGAGACGGAGGAGTTAAAAGTGTCCAGAAAGCAGATCACTTCGGTATGGCTGCTGTGAAGACTTCCTGGAGGTGTCCATGAAATCAACAGGAATCGACCTCGGCTTTTAAAAAAAAAAGTTAAAATCTGCTGGTTTCTCAAAGAGAAACAAATAAGATGATGGATGTGTTTGTGTGTTTGTGTGTAAAACACAATCTTCCAGTTTATATCTCTCTCCTGCCATCTAGTGGCCCAATGGATTCTGATTTTCATCCATGCGCTGTGTAAAATATCTTTATCTTCCATCCATCCTATTTCATCCATCCACTCTATTATCTATCTGTCTGTCTGTACCTATCAACTATCATCATTTATCTTCTATCATTTATCTTCTACTATTTCTATCTTTCATTTATCTATATCTCTATCATCTATATCTAATTATTTATCATCTATTTTTTATCTTCTATTATCTATCATTTATCTTCTATTTCTATCATTTATCTATATCATCTATATCATCTAATTATCAATCACCTGTCGATCTATTTATCATTTATCTTCTACCATCTATCTTTTATCTTCTACTGTCATCTATTATCTATCATTTTAAGAAGAAACTGGACAGCCATTTGTCTGAATGGTATAGGGTTACCTGCCTGAGCAGGGGGCTGGATTTGATGACCTCCAAGGTCCCTTCCACATCATTATTTATCTTCTCCTTCATGGATTACTGCCTTGTCGTGGCGAAGGGGCTTGCATAACTCAATGAAGCTATCTATGAGCTATGCCGTGCAGGGCCACCCAAGATGGACAGGTCATAGCAGAGACATTCTGACAAAATGTGATCCACTGGAGAAGGAAATGGCAACCCACTCCAGTATCTTTGCCATGAAAACCCCACGGACAGTACCAAAAGGCATGAGATGAGCTTCAATGGACTCCAGAAGATGGTAGAGGACAGGAAGGCCTGGAGGAACGTTGTCCATGGGGTCGCGATGGGTCGGACACGACTTTGCAACTAACAACAAATCATTTATCTTCTACTATTTCTATCATCTGTCATTATCATCTATCTATCAATCAATCATCTAATCTATCTAATTCATCCGTCCATCCATTCAAATTTCACAAAGAATGGTCGTATCATTATGACTCGTATCCATTATTAGTTTATTTGATTCATTCACAGAAGCAAGCAAAGTACACTTTCCAACATTTTTTTTTACGAAAAACAGACTAAAAACAAAAGAACAAATGAGAAAGTGCTAAAGGGCAATTGGAAAGACAGAAATTTGGAAAAATCGCCCTCTTTTGACCTTTTCTTCATCGCAAAAAGTTTTTTTTAAAAAAAACAACAACACCTCACTTTATAAAAAATATATAGCCCAGGGCCCTGGCTTTAGAGTAAGGCTGCTGGAGTGGCTGAAATGTATAAAAACTTTACAAGATATATAAAAAGAGCAGATTGCCTCTCTCACAATTTGAAGACCACAAAGGAACCAGAATGAAACATTTTTTTATGCTTCCTATTCTCCTCTCAGCA